AAATCATGCTGATTAATTCCACAAGAATGTAGTTAGCACAAGAATATGATTCCAATTCCAAGCGTTTTCTCGTGATAAATAAATTTACGGAAAGTGAATTTCCTTTTTGAAGTTCAGTGTATCTCCCCAATTGTGTACTTAGACAATATGAGTAAAAAAAGTGGAATTAATCAATTTATTTTGTGAAAAAGGAACAAATATTTTTATCACCTTTCTAAAAGTATAATTTTATCACACTTTGTGATTTTTGTAGTTATCGCTCCCTCTAAGGTTTAATTGGTATTAATTTAAATTCCAAACGGAGAGGAAAATGATATATCACTTTGGAAATTTGACAAAAGATTAATTACCTGACTGTGTAATAAATGTTTGTTGTTGATGATGAGGTCTAGGCTCTTGGAATCCTCGGTAAACACTGTCAGTTGCCCCTAAATTCAAGCCATATATATGTATGTAAGGATTTGAATTGAATAATTAATTTTTTTATATAGCAGAATTCAAGTAAAATTAATAAAAATGAAATTTCTGTCTATGTACGTTTCGATTGTCTAAATTCTTTGCTCTGATCCATTCATAAGATACTAAAGACGGTGGTAATTGAACGAGCTGCGTGTCGAGAAACGAACCATCTGGTCCATCTAGAATCAATATAAAATTACAGCAAATAAAGTTACGAAAGAAAAATTTTTCTTACTAATTACTTTTGGGATACGCCCAATTTTCTTTATTTAATGCTGCATCGGACCATTCCGGCCATAACGTTGAGTCACTTGTAAAAGAGGCTTCAAACACAGTTTCTGAAGGTTTTTTAGACATTACAGACATATTTGGAAACTCTTTCTTTCCAAGTAAAAGACGATCGTTCTTACATGAAAAGTAAAAATGTTCATACTAGATAAAATAATAATTAAATGCTCGAATTTCTGGAAAAAGTATATATATATATATTTATTTATTGAATCTCTGTATTATACATAACTATATGAAGATGAGATGTGAATTTACGTCAAAAAACAGACTTCATAAAAAATATTACAATTTAAAGAAACTGTATTATCTCGTTAGTACCTAATTCGCTATCGCGAACCTTACGAAACTAAATTAAAATATATTAAATGGTGGTACAAGAATGTAGTACAAATATAACGTCTACAAAAAAATAGTATTATCGATCTTTCGTTATTATATAAACTCAGTAACGAATCAATAGCTACGTACTTCGATTCTTTCAATGAGGATAGTTGTGGACGATGAGCTTGTACGTTTATATCATTACGATGTAGTATATTTTCTTTCTTATTCTTAACTCACTTTTCTCGTTTTAGAGTCACGTAGTTACATAGATTCCTTAACAAGAAAAATAATACTACAATTCATACATACAAGAATTATAATTAGTTCTCGTCTTTTCTTTTACACAACGTCAATCGTTTCTTCCTTCACACTTGAATATAGTTTTATAGTCATTTGACCAGGCTCGGTTTAGTTTTATAGTCGGTTCCATAGTTAAGTTTAGATTTTAGTATACATGTATAAGTAGGCATGAAACGCTTTAGCCTCAAAATACACACATACACGCATCATAGGTCGATAGAATTGCATAAACTTATTAAGGCATTGTTCCAATCTTCTAATTCTTTCTTTCAGATCGTTGACCGAAGCGTTTTCTTTCTAATAACTTCCCTATCGCGTATCCATAGATAAACAACGTGTAGAATTTACATTAATTTAAGTTATTTATCGGTAATATATCTTTAAGGATTATAAATACAGTATGAATTATTCATTGGAATGTTGAATATGCTCCACTTTTAATGAATGTGTTATCTAACTATTTGTCCTTTTAAAATTCTTAGAACACAACGAGATCAGATTGATACAATGGATCGTATCAAATTGTAAGTCTGAGAATTTCTATTAATTGAATTCTCTTATGCGCAATTAAGTTTGCTTGAAAGTTTCAGCGTTTTGTGGAATATCAATATACAATTTTTAGGTATTATTAGAATTATGGTCGATCATAGTCTATCCACAGATACATTATTAACATTCTGTCTACTTGGAATGTCCGAGTTTACATGAACGACGGAAGCTGGTTACAATATTATAATTAAGTAGAAGTAGTAATATTAATTACAACTTATTATAATTGTACGTATTGCGAGCGTTCATATACATTCATCAATGTACAATAGGGAAAACAGTAAATACAGAAAAATAGACAAACAACGGGAGTCAACAATTTCGTCTTTCTTTTTTATATTTTATATTTAGATTTCAACGGATCAATTCTTTTTGGCACGAATTTCATCACATTCTATTTTGCGATTCTCAAAAATAGTCAATGTAAATAAATTATATATTAAATACCGGATATACAAAAAATAATGCCAGGGTTGATAAATCTTTATCGTTCCGTGCTCATAACTAACATTTTAAGTTCTTTGAAGAAATATTTGCATGATTCATACCTTCAACCTGGCAGTGTTCACAATGTTATCAATTTTTTTTTTTTTTACTGTGAATTATTTAATTAGCTTCTAATTGCCGCTATGAAAGAAATAATTTTGTACTTTAAAAATATTACTATAAAATTATTTTCCATTTAATGTCGTGCAACATTTTCTGATTGGTTACACGAACAACATAGGCTCATTTAGAATTTGGCACTACATTATGAATACTCAAGCAGTTTAAAAAAAGGCGTATTCAGTTCAGTAAAACCAGTATGTATATATAGTTGCGACAGTGTATCATATCGACAGTGTATCATTCTAAGTTTAAGGTAGAGAACCAATGTTAGCGGACGGTATAATAGTACCTTGCAGTTTCCTAATGTTTGGATCACACTTGTACAATGATTTCATAGGCTGTGAGCAGAATGCATAAATTAAGCACTGAACGTTTCATAAATGACGAGACAACAAGGAATTGCATAGAACGAGCTGTAGAATTTTAAACAAATTCATTACCATACAATTTTCCACAATTATGCATATTTAACAAGCTTTGCCAGGACCAGAGGCTCTTTGATCTTCCATTCGTCCCGCCTGAAGTCTTTGTATTAAAGCAAAAAGATCCTCTTCAGGCACAGTTGATCCTGCTTGAGTAGTTCCATTAGATCTTTGGTTATGTTCCTCTTCAGCATCGTGTACCGTTGATGCTGCTGGTAAAGGGCTTCGCTGATCTTCTAAACGCGAGCTCTATATATACGATTTATTTAATGTTTGATAAGTTTGAAAGAAAAATACATGATCGTATGATACGTACTTGACATCTAACCAACATTTCAATAAAGGAATCATCAGAATCTTGATTACTGTTTAGGCCAGGCAAATAAGGCAGCGTCACTCGTTGCTCGTCCATTCTTTTACTCTGCATTCCAGCAATCAATTCTAGCAAATCTTCTCCATCTCTGAAAATGAAAGTAATATATTTTTACATACACTAACAGTAAATAGAATAATATCTTCCATAAAAGAAACGTACTTATCATCGGATTCGCATATCTCAGGTGTTATTGTTTTAAATTTCGAATTGCGATTTATATTCAATGCACAACGTTGATCGTCCATTCTACCAGATTGAAAACGAGAGAGAAGATCAAAGAAACTATCTTCTTCCTTTTGAGTAAGTTGCGGTGTCGCGTTATTACTTTTATCTGTTTGAGATTCAGCTTGCTCTTTTAATTTTGCATCCGGTGTGAGCTAAATAAAAATGATAGTTCTGTCAAAAACTTGTGACTCAATTATGATATAGAAGACAAAATTATATTAAATAATCAAATTACCTTAATGAGATCTAGGTTATCCATACTTTGCCGTCTAAGTCTATATCTACATGGTGAAGATATATTAACATTTGAGCCTGTATTGGTCGACAGTTTTTGTCCAATATTTTCTTTGTTATTTTCTTGCTGTCCTTTTTCCAATCCCAGAATTTTTTGTAAATCATCAACATTCATTTGTGCAGTAGCTTGTCCCATTGGATCTTCCAATTCTTTGGAAATATTCAGATGCAGATTGGCATAGTGTAATGCTTTCTCGTGATTACCCATTGCAGCGTATGCATTGCCCAAAGACCAACAGGCACGGCCTTCACCTACACGATCCTTAAGCTGTTGTGCTATTTCAAGATGCCACAAATGGTATTCTATCGCGGTTGGATAATCTCTCAATAGAGTATATGTATTTCCTAAGGAATAGCATGCTTGTGCTTCTACTTCTCTATCACCTAACTCTTGTGCAAGGACTAGAGTTCTCCTAAAATATAATGATCAATATTTATTTACATATCAATTTATTTGAAAGAAGAAATGTAATATAAATACACACTTATAATGTTGTGCAGCTTTCTCAAATTCACCAAGAAATATATGTGAATTTCCTAAATTACTGTTTGCTCTCCTCTCAGCTGCTTTATCACCAAATTCCCTGGCAATTTTTAGTCTTTCATTGTGATAATAAATTGCTTGTTGAAAATCACCAAGCAGGTAAAATGTGTTTCCTAAATTTCCACAAGCTCTACCTTGAGCAGCAGAATCTTCCAATTCCTTCATCAATTCTAAGTTTTCTCTACAAAAAAAATTTTGTGTGATTCATACGTGTTAGTCTGTATTGCAGTTTCAAAGAATTAACATTTTAATCTTCTTACTCATAGTAGTGTACAGCCTGTTGTAAACATTGTCTGACATCTTCAGAAAATTCTCCAGGATCTTGATGACCTACTCTACCTGCTTGTTTACCTTTAGCATGATAAACATTGCCTAAATTGTATAAAGCTCTTCCTTCACTTAGCTATGTAAAAAATTATCTTTTTTAATAACCAAGAGAAATTAGATATGATACTTTGATCATGTACAAACCTTATCCCCAATTTCTCTTGAAATCTCCAAGTGTCTTTTGCAACAGATCATAGCTTCGTCAAACTTCCCCATGACTTTCAATGTATTTCCCAAGTTTCCACTAGATTTAGCTTCTCCTAATTTATCTCCCATGTTACGTGCAAGTGTCAAGTCTAATTTATGATATTGCATTGCTTTCACATAGTCTCCAAGATAAAAGTAAGCATTTCCTAATTGGCTGTAGATTGCACTTAATATTCTTAAATCATCTGTGCCAGCTTGAATTGCAGCTTGAAAAAATGCCACCCCAGATTTACAATCTCCAGCCTTACATAGACGCTCACCCTCGAGAGCCAGTTCAAGGCACATGTTCCACCTTTCACTATTCTGTCAAATATAAAAAGTTTCAGTGACATATTTGTTTATTATTCCATCAGAAAACAAGACTTTTCAGATCAGATATATTAGAATTGTATGGCAATAATTAGAGGAATAATTACAAAATGTCCAATGCATAATTACAATATGGTTTTATTAAAAAAAAAAAAGAGGGAGAGGAAAGGAATGATCATGGGAGTGGCTGAACAAGCAACTACAATAAATTGATCATAAATAGAATTCAAGTATTCATGCTAACTTCGACTCATTTTTATTGGTAATTTGAAACGAATGATAAACTCATGGAAAGCTTGTATTATAAAAATAATAAATTCATTGATTGATACGTGAATATATGTAAGTTGAGCAGCAAAACTTATACATATAACAACTGATATTTTTCATTATCCCCAATGTATTTTTTATTATCCGCGAAAGTCTTCGAGAAATTATACAAGCGTTCAAACAGTAAACAGTGAAACGAATAAAAGTGAATTAATTGTGCACAATAATGATAGAACAGTATGAGTCATGCGAGTCATGGAGAAGTGTATTAATTAGTATAGTTCACTTACTTGCCCTTCCGACGATAAATTCTCCGCGCTCGCGCTCAGGGACATTGTGCTCTCTTTCGTTTTCGTTTCCCCTGTAAGTTAACAATCGATTCCCAAAGCTTCACGACCGTAAATATCACGAATTTTACGTGCACGACAGGCGATTATTTAGTTTACGACGATAATTCGGCGTGCACGATTTTTCACGCATCATGCTTTTGTACACGTTTTGTAATTTCTTATTCCTTTGCAATCACGTTCGCGTGCTTCTTGCAGGTAAAACGCGCGTCACTTTTCCCTCCACTCTTGCAATCATTCGCCGCACTTTCCGAATACAACTGACCGAAAATTGAGCGTCCAAACAAATGGCGCTTGGTGTGTGTCGCTAGTGCATCGTCCAATCGTGTAGCTAGTTCCACCTGGTGGTGGCGAAACAAAATTCTCTAGTCCAAACATTCTAAAAATTCCCTAGATGTCTAGTATATATACGCGATATGTAACACAACGATTTGGGCCGTGCCATCGCACAATGTGTTTCGTGTATGTTCTGGAGTATTGTCCGCATTTAAAGTGTTCGATCGGCGGAGCTTGAAGGCTGAGATATGATTCTGTTTTCGTCGTACGAGATTTAAGTCGGTAAATGGAAAAGTGAATCGAGTCACGCAGTGAACAACCCGTTAATAAACGTTGAAGTGAAGAATTGTTTTGAGTCTGAGGGAGATTTCTTCTTCGTTTCGAATGGATACACAACCTCTCTACTGAGTAGTTTTCATCTCGCTAGCGTTTACCTTGTCGTAAGATAGATATTTAAGACTAGTCATAACCTTCTGTTTATTGTATTCCGCAATTTCATAACGCGTTTTGTTGTCGTGTAGAAAGTATACGTTAGATTAATAATGAGCGATGGTAAGAAGGTAGGTGAAAATTCCAGTAGTGAGGTTGTTAACCAATTTCGAAGCTGTAGGGATTTAAGTGATATCGTGCCGCTGTACACGCAACGAGCGCTTTATTTAAAACCAGTTGCAAAGATAAATGTTTCTGTTAATCTTCCTCAATTGAAAGTTCCAGGTAAAGTGATCACGAATGATACGTATCTTGTCTTCGTCTACATTTTTTTTTTTTTTTTTTATTTACTGAGAACGATTGCAATTATGTTTGTGTTCAAATTTACGTTTGTACGGTCTCTATTTACTGATTGAAATGCACTGATTAATCATGTTGATTTTTTGTAGCAGGAAACAACAAGTTATTGTTTCAAATTCCGTGTCAATCTCTATAACTATGTATGCAACATTTTTAGCACAGTAGGTTTTTACAGAAAATTAACTGCGATATAAACAGGAAAAACAATATCAACATGGGAAGTAATGGAGAAGATTCGTGCCCTTATACTACCAGACGAGTTTGCATCTCTGAAGGTAGCGAAGAGTACATTGGAATTTATCAGATTGGAGGGGGACTTGCAAGACAGATGCAGACTACAACGTGTACTTGCACGATTGGACTCCCAGCGTTTGAATCTGTCTGGATTCCCCAACGTTTTAAAAGTCCGCGCAGCAGAGGCGAAGGATGAGTTCCCTACCAGACATAGTTGGGATTCTTACTTCAGAGATGCGAAACATATGAATGAATTGAAGCCTGGAGAAAGGCCAGATACTATACACATAACAGGCTTACCTGTTAAATGGTTCATAGAAGATAATGCAACTATGCCCAGTGAATCTTTGATTAATAAGATCTTCAAAAAATGGGGAGTATTAAGAAGAATCGATGTACCTGCTGCTGATCCTTACAGATCCAGAATGCGTCTTGGTACAAATATAAATAAGTTTAGTTACGAAGATGGCATATTTTTTGACGCATATATTCAGTATGTTGAGTATATGGATTTTGTTAGAGCTATGGATGCATTGCGTGGCATGAAACTACTTAAAAAGGAAGGAGACAAGGCATTCACAGCTTCTATTAAGGTGCGCTTGCCATTTAGACATTTGTATGCAAATTATATCGATTTATATAGACAATAATAGAGTAAAGAATATGGTTTTCTCATTTTCATTATTTCATACAGATTACTTTTGATAAAACAAAACACATGAGCGATAGTTCTGTCGCGCATAGAGAATTCGAAAGAAAACGCCTCATAGCACAGGATACATTAGCAGCAGAACGACTTCGAAGAAAAGAAGAAGCCGAAGAGAAACGCCGTGAAGAACTGAAGTAACTAGCCACTAGTAACTAGTATTTGTAATGGGTGAATGTAAATTCACATACGTGTAATATTTCGTTAATTATTTCTACCAGGAAGAAAGAAGAAGCCGATGCGATAGCTAAAGAAAATAGACGGAAAAAACGAGAAGAGAAACGTAAACGTAAAGCTATAACGATATTTCGAAAGAAGGAAGAGGATAAAGTATCTATGAAGATCGCTAGGGAAGGTCAAAAATTAATCAAAGCACAAAGGCAGCTTGAAAGTATTCGTCTATTAGATGAATTATTCGACAGGATAAAGGTAAAATTCACTGAAAATTTCATTATTCTTTTGTGAGAATAGAATCGACTAAAATTCGTTTTCCATGTCAAGATAAAAGTGGAGAACAATGAGATTAAAATAGATGAAGTGACAAACGTGGATACAAAAAAAGAAGAAAAAAAAAGCAATAAAGTAGATGGTACTGTTGAAATATTGAGTTCAGAAGAGGATTCGAAAGATGGGAAGAAGGATAAAAAAACCAAAAAATCAAAAAAGAAAAGATCGAAAAAAGAGAAAAAGAAGAAAGTAACGTATTTGTCTTTTATATTCCTATCATTTTTTTTTTCTTTCTAACCATATTAACTAATTTCAGAAGAAACAAAAAAAGGATAAAGATTCCGAAAATTCTGCAAGTCAAAGTGATAAATCAGGCGCGGAAGAACAAACAAAAAAATTAAAAAGTGTTCTGAAACAAAATGTTCCATCATCGTCAACAGGTAAATACGAATGATAGGGAAAATCAAATTAAAATTGCTAATTAGTTGTTTCTTTTTTCAGCGTTTTCACCTTCAAAATCTCTTCCTTATGCACGCTTTCCACAACCTTCTTCCTTAGAATCTCTTTCTTATCCAACTCTTTATCCACGTTTTCCACAACCATGGTATTACGATGCGGCCCTGCCTGTGATTTATTCAAGTTTACCAAGAGGTATGCCTAGGGGTCGTTTTCCACGAGGACGGGGTAGAGGATTTTTGTGGCACAACACTGGAAATCCTCATACGTTGCATACGTTCAATCCTCATTTGTATAACGAGCAATATTACAAATATTTTGCTCATTTAGTAGGTCAGGATTATCATTCTTTCGACTACAGGAGTTCACGATCACGTAGTCGTAAAAGGTCGTTCAGTGGATCTAGATCTAGATCAAGATCAAGGTCGAGATCAAGATCCAGATCGAGGTCAAGATCAAGATCGAGATCGAGATCGAGATCGAGATC